AATTAAATGAAATTTATTATCCTACAAAAGAACAAATAGGGATGTCAACGGAGCCCCGCAGGATTGGGGAGTCCCTCCTCATCCCCGTCCCCCTAAATAGCGGGGACAGGATCCCCACAGGGATTTTTTACGGGGGCCAAAATCCCAATTCTCCACTAATTAATACCAAAGTTCGGCACAAGCGGCCAGTAGCGACAGAGTTCAGTAGAGGCAAGATGATGGCATATTGCAAAGTGCAGGTTGCAGCTAACAACTTTGACAGCAACTCCAGGAGCAGATCTGTAACAGCTCTAGGAGCAGATCTGTAACAGCTCCAACAGCAAATCTATAGTAGATCTATAGCAACAAGAAGGGGAGGGGAAAGTTGAAGGTGAGGTGAGACTTGAGAGCTTGATTGTTCGACCGAGACCAAGAGTGAGTGAGGGGTTGAAGTGAGGGCTGTGGCTGCACTGCTGCGTACGTGAGTGAGGAGAAAGGGAAGGGAAATGAATAAGGTTATGAAATTAGGGTTGGAAGGAGGATGATGGGTTGGCCGGATGGGTTGGATAAAATTTAATTTTAATTGAATTGGGTTTGGGTTGAGTTTAAGTATTATTTTAAAGATTAAATTAAATTTAAAATATATATTTTTTTTAATTTTTCGTGGGAATGGGGATCCCCGCGGGGCTTCGCAAGGTGAAAAAATTCCCTACAAAATTTCGCGCGAAAAAAATACCCTCTATCCCCACCTAACGAGGATTCCTTCCCGCCTCATCCCCATGATGGGAATGACCGCGACGTCCTGTGGGAATTGAAAAAAATTACCACCGCTAAGAACAAAATTTTTTATTTTATTATTTAAACTATTTTGAACGATAAAACATGAATTATCTAATGAAAAAAAGCTCCTGTATCAATGGTTTTTCTTTATCAGGGGATTAATGTTTTACGATTTAAAATTATAATTTGTGCAGTTAGGTAAAACACAATTTTGCAAACAGAAAGTGCCTAAAGAAAGAAGAAAATAAAACAAAAGCCCTTCTATAAAATAAAAGCCCAA